CATTGTCACTAATGTTATTATCTTTTTTAAATATATATGAATGTTGTTGTATATTAAAATTTCATAAGGATCTAATTAAAAACGAGATTGGTAAGCAAAGATGGATAGTGACTAGCAGTGGAATCCAGGACAAGGCGCTTTTCGTCCTATTTGAGACTCGTCAGGTGGATTTGCCTGCATCTCAGAGTTGATGTTCATTCTGGGACTACAACCCAGTATCTTTCGCTTCAAATGTCATCGCGTTATCCACTCAGCTACTGAGTCCTGATAGCCACTTGCTTGTGCGATGGATTGAAGTTGAAATTTACGTTGGTGGGGTGACATTAATAGGAAGGTCTATAAGTACCACTTCGATAGCCGGTGTATTCAATGGAGCTGGTCCATTCAAGTGTTCCTCGAAGTATTCCACTCATCTGTTCCTCTGTTCTAGGATCTCGGTGATTGTATTGTCTTCTTTGTCCTTGATCGGTCTCTCTGGTTTACTGAATTTCTCTGCTAGTTTCTTCGTTGTATCACATAGCTGTCTCATATTCCTTTCTCTTGGAGAATTTTCCGCCGTCGTTGCTAGTTTTCCCATGTATTTCTGCTTGTCGGCTTTAATGCTCCTCTTCACTTGCCTGTTTGCTTCTGCCTACTCTGCTTGCACCCTGACTATCTCTGCTCGTGTTCGACTGCTGTTAATTGCTGTCTTCTTGTTCTTTCTCTCCTCAATCTTGTTTAGGGTTACTATAGAGATCCATTACTTATGATGATGCTTCTTGTGTAACTTGTGCTAAGATTCATTCAATTGTTCGAACTCGTGTTCTTGTTCACTACAACGTAAGCAAACAGCGTTGCTTCCAATTCGTAGTAGTGATAAGAATATTAAAATAATAGAAGTTATCATCAATGGTTCAACGTAGGAAGTAGGTCTTCGGACTATAAATCGTTAAATTTCACTGGAATCATACCGTAAATTAATATTTTCCACTGACTGACTGACTGACTGGAACTGTTACCAATTTCAACACTTTTTCCAAACTTCTCACAACCTCATGGTCAAGTATGATATTGTAAATACCCTTGTTTTATGTATATTAACTAACTATCGAATTAGAGTACCTTTCGACTGTCTACCTTTTGTTTTCTGTCCGTCATTCAACAGTCGAAGATTCCCTGGGTTGAGAATTCGGTGTCTAAGAATCCACATACAAGATGTGTCAGTCAACTAATAAATTTCCCTGATGATCAATAATGAAATACAAGGTTACGTAAAAAATAGTGACTCTCTACCAATTAGTTTTAAAGACGATCTATCCCCTGGGGCCTCAACGTAGAAAATCTAGAACATCAATATCCAAGCTAGTAAATGAAAATCTGATTATGAGAATATTGATTATATTAGAGTGAATTTGATCTTTGTCATGATTTCATATCGGCCGATTCATCCTAGTATGATACTCCTTATTAAAAAGTACTAGCAACCCCTCCAGGAATCGAATTCCACTCCATTCTGTCTCTCATAGAACGTGTTGTAAATAGACCACCGAGTTTTAATTCATTCGTTCTCATTTCTAATACACAGCATGACATTATCCATTACCTTATTCTCAACAGTTGAGTAATCCCATACTAGGTTGAAACAACTGTTCAAACCTCCCTTGTTATCGATGGTTACCAAGTGAGCTCCAATATATTACGAAGCTAAATTTAACTCAGAGATTACCCTTCTTTTAACTGTTTATCACAGGCTGACTTATTAAACAGATCTATACCCCATGTCAAGAAGACAGTGGTAGAAGTGACTTTATTGTTAACTTCTTTGAGAGACCACACTTTATTTCAACAAATTGAGGCGATTGATAACATTAGGTGTACAAACATCAACCAAATCAAAGGTTAATTCCCAAAATTAAACAGTACTACTGAGACCAATTTGTAGTGACAGATAAATCCCCAAAATAAACGACTTTAAGTTCTCAACGTTGATGTTCACCCTGGTGGTTTTACTGAACACGCACTCAGATGAACGAGCTCTGTCAAACATCTGAAGCAAAGTACACAGTTCTGAGCATTTCCTACGACAAATAGACAGCTTGAACCCCATAAAGTGTGATAAATTGGCCTACAATCTAAATATGCGCTCACATCCCATCATTCTTGACTTCCAGTTTTATCAGCTTTAAAATCATTGCGTAGGATGAGATTTCCGACTGCAAGACCATCTAATTCTGCGTTTTCCTGATCTTTTCAAATTCAACAAGTATAAATGTTCAAAACATGCAATGTAGCCACATGTAAGGACAAATGAACATCTACATTTAAATGTATTTGAAAGCAAAAATTTGCTAAAAGATTTATTTTAATATGATTTTTCCTAATATGTTTAGGTGTGAAAATTGAACGGCAGTTCAGACTACTTATTAATATTAAGTAGTAAGATAGAGAAACTAAAAATACAATACTTGAAATGGAAACGGACTGTCATAATTGAAGTAACAGAAATTAAGACAGAATTAGTGTCATTTTATAACAACCTCAAAAAGTCTCATACTAGATCTATATCTTAAAAATATAGTCATACAAACCAGTTCCTAAATATTTCATGTCGGATGGTCGTTTGAGCCGAAAACCTATATATACGGTCCCCATGAGCGAACCCAGTTACCTGAGTGAGAAAACTAAGAGCGAATAGGAAACCTTTATTAGCTAATCCGAATCAAAATATATAGGTCTGTCTCCAGAAAACGAAGCCAGACAAATAGCGTACACCTGTCAACATATCCCACCCGTAATTTGGCTTTGAACTGGTGTCCGATTGTCCTAGGATATCAATACGCTTAGATCATCCAAACTCTCTGAAAACATTACTTTGTGGTCTGAAGTAACTATACTAGAAATTATTCAGGGATTTTGAAGCAACGTATAGACTATCGAAATCCATGTTATTCCGCCCCTAACTGCCCTGATACTTCTGAGTGTGCAGAACATATTCTCCTTATCCAGCTGTTTTCTCATTCATCCCTTCAAGCAAAGAAGTTTCACAGACTACGTTCACATGGTACGGCTAAGGTGGCAAATGTCTAAAGCTTAAACTGAACTACTGTATATATGGTCTGCCTACGGTAGTTGGGGACCCCTGATTTCAAACTGTGTCCTCATGAGTTACAGAGTCCTGGGCGAATGAATACTATATGAGCCAACTTTTGGCACTACCATTTGTTCGTACTCTTCGACGCTGCTCCATTCAATACCGGATTAAATCTGGAGGCCAAAATTTGAGGACTGTCTCCTCAGAAAACCACTTGACTCGGTTTGTGCAGTCGGATGACATCATGACCCATATGAACAAATAGTGATGAAGGGGACCTATCCTCCTCATATTTATTTTTATTACTCTGACTCTTGCTGGTTATACTTCCTTGTTAGTGTGATTTATTCTTTTGGTGCCACATTTTACGAAAAGTGCTATTAAAAGAATACAAATCGACTTCAGTGTCCTGACTAGAATGCTAGTTGCAACAAGCTGCTTTGTCACATTCAGACTGAATAGCTTTCTAAAGTGCTTTGATGTGCTAGCGTTATAACCTTAAGTATTATAACATTGTGAAGAATTTCAAAATTGAGACTAAAACATAATGAATCGATAATTCGACTTACTCCTGAGGATTACAAATGAGATTAGCTCAACTTCACGCAGCGACTGTGCATATTGGAATAACATATGAGTGGCAGATACTTTCAGTTTGTTCTCAGTGTTGTGAAGTACGCTTCCTAACGGTTGATACACGTACGCAATCTTCAAATACACAAGTTTAATCAGTTACTCCTATTATTATTACTACTACATTATTTTCATCTCGCCGAGCTAATCAGGTACGACGACTTGGGCTAACGCACACGTGCCAGACTGTATGATGATGTCTTTATACTCAAGTGAAAAGACGGAGTGAGAAACAAAGCTTACCAACCGACAAAACTGCGATGTGTGTAACTCATCTATTTATATATATAAATACCCTGGAAGACTAAGCTACTAACGGTACGTTTCATTCCTAGGAAATGTTAGCTCCTTCTTGAACCAACGTCAGAAGTCTTAAAATGTGACGTTTTGTTCATAAAATAAAACACAAAGTTGGAGTTATTATAATTTTACTCGTCTACTACTAGCACAGTTCCAATCATTGATCACTACTACTACTTCTGTTCGGGCACCCGGGCAGTACCACAGCCCATAAACAAGTGTGGCGCATATGTATCTGGTGTCCTTTTGTACCAATATGTATGTGTTTAAATACATAAATAAATGTGTAAGTTATAGGCTCCTCTAAAATTAGTTCAGAAATCGCTAGATGAGTATAGTGACTAAGTATCATTTTCCTCTTAGTTAGGCGAATGCTTAGGTTTCTTGTAATAGATTCAAGATATACCAAAACCGTTTTAGGTTTGGTCGAACTAAGTTACTTATATTTTTATAGATAAAACCTTCTGGAAAATCATGTGGTATTAGAATTTTGCAGATAACACACTGAAAATGACAACCGTGAAACGAGTTTTAGTGAAGAATGCCAAGACTGTAGGGATGATCAGGATATTTCTCGTAACCTTTTTTGTTTCATCAATATATACTTTCTTGAATTTTACTTTCGATACCTAATTCTTTCTATCACCAATAATACTGTTAGCACATCCACTATTCTGGGATCTGCCTAAAAAAATTTCATCTTGGTATTCTAATAGTGTATGAGAACTTGAACTGATGTACACACGTGCCAAGCTCTACGATGAGCATAACTGACTGACTGATAGAAACACAAAATATGTGGAATGCGCGTAGCTGACAACAAAAATTAAAACCAAGCATTATGAGATGTCGTTTACTAATATCATACATGTACAAAAAGGAAAAACACCAGTATTAAAATGTGTTGAATTACAGAATAGCATCAACAGCTGATTATAGAATATTTTACAGCTAGCAATTAAAGAGGGGTAAGTAACACAAAGCAAACGATGTCAATTCAGAAGTTCCGTCCACGCCCCCGGTTACTACGACCAAAGCGAAATCTGCCTTTATTCGAATCAGTAGTATCAACACGAGACCACTGACCGATTGGTGGGGTATACAGTAGTCTATCACCACGTGGTTGTCGAACACCTGTATTATGGTGATTGCCCAAATCCGTGGGAAAAGGACGCTTTGTACCTGGAATCGAAGTAACAGGTGATTGAATCCACGACAATGTTACATTGAGGGTTTTGAACACTGGGGGGTTGTGAAAAAAGCACCGTATCATTCGCTGTATGTTCATCATAAGCTAACAAAAAATCAGGTAAAAAAAATTAACTGATACTACACGTAAATTAACTCTCCATTACCTAGAAAAATATGTACATGATTATAAAGCTCATTGTAAGTCATAGGGATTCGAGACTAAAAAGCAACAAGGAAATCAGCAAACTGAATCACGAGGCAAGCCCTAACTTGAATAACTGAAGGGAAACGGGGAGAGTGGAAGACGAAGGAAGGCACGGCGACAGGAATCGGAAGCAGTCATCAGAAGAATGAATAGCAACTGGAAACATTTGGAAAGGATCGCCCAGGGCAATATTGGATAGAAAGTAAGAGGCGTAAGTGAAGCAAGCAAGCAAAGTGAGCGAAATTACCCTTAGTAAGCAAAAGGTGAGCAAGGAAAGCAATGTAAGCAAATAGTAAGTAAATTAGGCGAAGGAAGAAATTAAGCAAAAAGAAAGCGAAGAAAGAAAAGTAAGAAAAGTAAGCGAATTAAGCGAAAAGTAAGCAAAGTAAAAAGTGAACAAAGAAAGCAAAGTCAGCAAAATTAATCAAAGTACACATAATAGGCGAAGTAAGCACAATAAGCAAAGTAGGCAAACTAAGCAAATAGTAAGTAAAGTAGGAAAAGTAAGGAAAGTAAACAGAGTAAGCAAAAAGTAGGCAAAGTAAGTGAAAAGTGAGCGGATTAAGCAAATAGTAGGCAAAAGGTAAGGAAAGTTGGCAGAGTGGGCAAATTAAGCGTAGTAAGCAGAAGGTGAGCAAAGTAAGCAAAAAAGTACGCAAAGGAAGTAAAGTAAGCGGAAAGTGAGCAAAGTAGGCAAAAGGTAAGCAAAGTAAGCAAGTTAAGCAGAAAGTAAACCAATCGAGCAAAGTAAGCAAAAAGTATGCAAATTAAGTAGTAAGCAAAAAGTAAGCAAAGTAACCGAAAAGTAGGCAAGGTAAGCAAATTAAGAAAAGTCAAGAAAGGGCAAGCAAATTAAGCAAAGTAGGTAAAGTGAGCAAAAAGTAAGTAAAGTAAGCAAAAAGTGAGCGAAATAAGTAAAGTAAGCAATTTAGCAAAAAGTATGAAAAGTAAGAAAAAAGTAAGTAAAGTTGGCAAAAAGTAAGCGAAAAGTGAACAAAGTAAGCAAATAGTAAGTAAAGCTAGCAAAAATTAAGCAAAGTAATCAAAGTAAACAAAAAAGCAAAGAAAAAATTAGGCAAAGTGAGCAGTCAGTCAGTCAGCTACAACGTAGGACCAGGCACATATATCCATCGGTCCAAGTTGCCATACCTCGTTAGCACAACAAGATGAACACTGGATTCATAGAAGTAATTAATTTAGTGGTGGTAGTAGTATATAAATTATAGGTTGTATATAAGGATATAGTACAGGAAGGAAGAGAGATATGAAGCAATTTTAGTCTCAAGGTTTAAGGGAAGATAGAGAGTGTATACACCTACGTCATTGTGATCGATTCTGAGCCATGTCACCTAGAGTCTCCAACCATTGGTTACGATAGTCACGCGGACCCCAACCAGGTAGTCTGCATCTGCCAACATGGCTCAGACTAGAAGTTAGTGACTTCAAGCACTGATGCCATGTTTTGGTTTGGCCGCCCCTAACTCTCTTCCAACCATCCCCAGTACTAGTCATCATAGCGCGTCGTGGTAATCGGTGTTCAGGCATACGTAACACATGGCCCAACCATCTCAGTCGATGAAGATTCACAACCTCATCAACTGATTTACCATCGTTCCCTAATACCCTGCGTCTAACCCCACTATTACTTACCCGGTTATCCCAGCAGATGCGAGCAATATTTCTAAGACATCTGTGGTCAAATACTAGTAACTTACGAGTATCTTCTACTCTTAATGGCCATGTTCCACAGCCGTAAAGTAAAACAGAACAAACTGCTGCGCAGTATACTCGTCCTTTAATTGATAGACGGATATCCCGTCTTCGCCATAGGTGACGTGAGTTAGCAAAAGCCAAACGAGCTTTTTGAATCCGTGCTGAGATTTCGTCAGACACCAACCCATTAGGGCTGATCAGACTTCTAAGATAAGTGAAGTTGTCCACGCGTTCGACTACTTCACTCCCTATCCTTAGTTCGGGTGATGACGCAGGCCAGTCCTGGAGTAACAATTTACATTTGGATGGGGAGAAACGCATTCCAAACATCCTGGCATTATTACTGAGTTCCAACAGAAGACTCTGCATTTTGCCAGCGTCTTCACCAAACAGGACTATGTCATCTGCGTATTCCAAGTCGCTTAGTGGTCCCCCTGGTAGGAGATCAATTCCTGTAAATTCAGTCGAAGAGATTGTTATTTCCAGCAACAGGTCTATAATGAAGTTAAACAAAAATGGGGATAGTGGACAGCCTTGTCGGACACCACTTGAGGTTGTAAAATCATATGACAGTTCGCCATAAGCTCTCACTCGACTGGTAGTGTTCGAGTAAAGAGCCATCATAAGGTTTATGTACTTCTCAGGTACACTTTTCAATGACAAACACTGCCACAGAACCTCTCGGTCTACAGAGTCAAATGCTGCTTTCAAGTCAAGAAAAACTATCATTGTCGGATGCCGATAAGCGTGTCTGTGCTCTAAAACTTGACGAATGGTGAATATGTGGTCGATACAGCCACGACCAGGTCTGAAGCCAGCCTGATTTTCTCGTGTTTGCTGTTCACGAGTCTTGGTTAGGCGCCCGATAATTATTGAGGCTAGTATTTTAGATGCTATATTAGTCAGACTAATCCCTCTATGGTTATCGCAGGATGATTTTGACCCCTTTTTATATATTGGGACAATCAGTGATTGTGACCAGTCGGATGGGATTACATCCGTCTCTCAGATTTTAGCCAGAATATTAGTCAACCTAATCGCTAAAATCGGACCACCATATTTAAAGACCTCTAGAGCTAATCCATCTGGACCAGCTGCTCTTCCTCGTTTCAGATTACCTATAGCCTTTTGAAATTCAAGAAATGATGCAAATTAGACAAAGTAAGTAAGAAGTAAGCAAAGTAAACAAAAAGTAGGCAAAGAAAGTTAATCAACCAAGGAAAACAAATAAGGCAAAAGTTAAGCAAAGTAAGAAAAGTAAATAAAGTAAGCGAAAAGTAAGCAAATTAAGTGAAGTTAAAAGTAAGCAAATTGAGCAAAGTCAGGAAAAAGCAAGCAAAGTAAGCAAATAGTAAATAAAGTAAGCAAAGAAAGCAAAGTAAGCAGAGAAAACAAAGTAGACAAAGTAAGCTAAGTAGGCCCCAAATGCCCTGGCACGGCCGAGAGTGGGGAGAGTCTGCTCTCCCTCTCCAAATGCTCTCATATGGCCACGCGAATATATAGCCTCTGACAGGGAAGTCCTACTCACTGCCTTCCCATAGTGACGGGGGTGTTGTTCACAAAAGTGAGAGGACGAAAAGCGAATGTCCGGCGCTTTAACCGGGTTGGTGGACAAGGAAAGTTCACCTAGAGGAGTTGGAAAACCCTGATTCAAAACCAATGGTGCACATGGGCTCCAGTATCCTGATGGAACGAATGGAGAATGAACCTGCTGTGGGTCACGGGCTACCATGGGACTGCATCTCCTTAAGATGCTCCACTGCCTTGTGGACTAGACCTTCAGGTCAAAGGCTCCGAGTGTGGCCCCCTAAGAAAACCATCTGCTTCCGTCTGGGCACCTGGGCAGTATCACAGCCCTCACACAAATCGAATGAGATTTGTGAGGCGCATATTTATCTGGTGCTTCCTTGTACCAATATTCATGTGTTTAAATAAATAAATAAGCTAAGTAGGCAAAGCAAGCAAGGAAAGCGAAGTAAGCAAATAGTAAGCAAAGTAGACGAAATAAGAAAAGTAAGCAAATTAAGCAAAAATTGAGCAAAGTAAACAAGGTAAGAGAAAAGCAAACACAGTAAGCAAAGGTAGAATAGTAAGCAAAAAGCAAAATTAATCATAGTATGCAACGAGAACAAAGTACGCAAATCGTAAGTAAAATAAGCAATGTAAGCAAAAAGTAAGCAAAGTAAGACCTACTGCTGGAAATAACGTTCTCGTCTACTGGATTTTCGGGCGTTAACCTCTTACCAGGAGGTCCACTTATCGACTTATAATACGCAGACTGCAAAGTCCTGTTTGGTTGTCGTTGCTTCAGGACTGGTCTGCGTCATCACCCGAACTAAGGATAGGGAGTGAAGTAGTCGAACGCGTGGACAACTTCACTTATCTTGGAAGTCTGATCAACCCTAGTGAGTTGGTGTCTGACGAAATCTCAGCACGGATTCAAAAAGCTCGTTTGGCTTTTGCTAACTCACGTCACCTATGGCGAAGACGAGATATCCTTCTATCAATTAAGGGATGAGTATACTGAGCAGCAGTTCGCTCTGTTTTACTTTACGGCTGTGGAACATGGCCATTAAGAGTAGAAGATGCTCGTAAGTTACTAGTATTTGACCACAGATGTCTTAGAAATATTGCTCGCATCTGCTGGGATAACCGGGTAAGTAATAGTGAGGTTAGACATAGGGTATTACAGAATGATGGTAAATCAGTTGATGAGGTTGTGAATCTTCATCAACTGAGATGGTTGGGCCACGTGTTACGTATGCCTGAACACCGATTACCACGACTCGCTATGCTGACCACTCTTGGAGACGGTTAGAAATTAAGTTAGGGGTGGTCAAACCAAAACGTGGCATCAGTCCTTTAGCTGACTGACTATGTATTTGGTTCCCCCCTGTACCAATGTTCATGTGTTCAAATAAATAAATAAATAAGAATACATTTAATTGATCCGAATATACTCCATTTTTTAACGCACTTTGTAGAAATTAGGTTAAATAAATCATTTAAGATCCATACAAAGTAGCTAAACCATTAGGAAGTAAGGTGTGTTGAGCGATATTGGTTAATTCTATTTACCAATTGAAACCAAGAAATGTTCGAAAACACACAGACACGGTTGCTTGGCAATTAACGTAATAAGTAGTGGTCAAAAACTGTATGAAATAGGTTGCCTTTACAATAAGCTCAGCTTTGGAAGAATATGCTGGTGGAGTCAAGTTCTTTTCAGTAATCAGAAGCAAATTCCTGACAGAAATCCATGATATCCTAAATGGCCTAGTGAGCTGTGGACAGCAACTCAAGCCTTTAAAGCTGATTGCACAAAATAAAAAACTCGACTAAAGATGGCTACTGATCAAATCGAGTGCTTTGACTCTGAGATTATTTCTCGCATACTACGTTTGTATTTCCGTAAATTCTACCTATTTTTTTCCATTTATTGGTCACCTCCTGCTGTGGCTTAGTAGTTGAAGTAGCTAGCAGGGTATTGTCATTACTCCTAGGGTAAAAATTGTCTTGAAGTCAAATACACAGACCTGTGCTCGACAAATAGGCCTCAATAGATATCACCATAAAACTTGGAAGGTTCCATCAAATGCGTTACATGGTTTTTTTAACACACCTGGTCATTGCACAAGACATGAATGGAAGTTGTTGATTCGAGCTCTAAGTATAAATTTGAATAAAACCGAGATCATAAATATCCCTCAATAGATTGTAGGGAAAGTTAAAGAACTCACTTTGTGAGCCATGGTTCGAAGCTTGCTCTCTTCAGATTGAAGGTTCTTATCCAACTGACCAGATATTGTTGTTGCATAATCTTGTGCTAGCTGACTTAAGTACTGGAGACGAGGTCTAATAGTACGTAATCTATCGACTCCATCTTCGATAACAGATAACTCAAGTTCATTATCATTTGCTTTCCCCCCAAAATATTGAGGATAATAACATCCAAGCTGGCAGCATAAAAACAAACCTGCCTCCAACTCTGAAAACTTTAAACCCATCTGGTTTAACGTCGGCTTTTCTATAGAGGGTTGTTTCGTCTAAAGATTATTAATAACGAATATCTGTGACCTACGTTGTCAGCTGTTTCTTCCGAAGGGATGCTAGGTAAAAACATTGACAGTATATTGAAAGCAGAGTTTAGATATTTTGTTATATCCTCTGACTTTATCGATGCAAGTGCTGGACTTGGGAAAGACAGTAGCTCTGCGGTTAGTTGAAGTAAGCTAAGTCGTTCGTCGAAGGTGTCTTCATCAAAATCACCGAATTGTGGCAAGAATTTTTCCAACATGTATATGTACAATTCATGAGCGTTAACGTTTTTCTGTTTAGAAAATATCTACAAAATAAAGTTACTTACAGATACACATAAGGCAGCCTGTCTACAACTCTCCCGAACTTGAGCTATACATGCCCGATCACTTGCCTTTACATATTACTACAACTTCGAACTAACTTACATTGAATGTAGGAACGGCCTGCAAAGCTTGTTGAGAGATCATGCCGACTAGTTTTTGCCTGCCAGTCAGTGTAGACATACATTTCAGGGATGATAGTAAAGAGATTAACATTGGAAACTCTTCCTCAGAAACATCATGTAGCACTCGATTAGTTTGTTCAACCACAAAAGACTCCAGATCGCTAGTTAATACATTATCTGGTAGACTTTTTAAACGTTCACACAGGAATTTGAGAGTATTTTCTCTAGAGTTTTCTGCATTCATTGAAAGAAGTCGATTGAATATTCCCAGTAAGGTTGCTTTCGGCTCTGAATGAAGTAGTTGAGACAAAGCCAAAGAAATGACGTTCAGCTCCTAAAAATCCCACACTCGTTAAAATTAATTACCTTCTTATCATCTGTTTGATACATTTGAACGAGAACATCAGCAACACGTGGGACGAATACCCGTGCATGTTTACAAAACTGCAACAAATCATGCACCACTTGACTTCGAACATTAACATCGTCGTCGTCACATAAATCCAGAAAACAATTGAAACTGTCCTCCAGTAGATTCTCGAAAAGTTTGCTAAATCTTGCTATGAACTGACTTGACAATCTCTTAGCATTTTCATCACCTTTAACACCTACAAGTACTGTTTTGTAGGCATTTTCTCTCTAATGATAGATGAAAAATTAAAAGATCACATTCACAACCTCCTTCAAATCTATGGAACTGTCAGCTAGTTTATCATAACATGAGTACAAATCATCCGTAGTCGGCAAAGTCATTGGGTAGCATACACCATCAAACCTCCGCCTATACAATTCACAAACGGAATTGTACAAACAACCAAACTTTGATGATTGGAACATAACCTTACACTTTCAGCTGTTTTGAATCTTCTCTATTTATCTAAATGGACGGTATACCGGTTTTTATCCTTTTGTCACCAAAATTTTGGCCTATTTTCTTTAAACTGTTTAGATACATTCGCGGAAAAATTCACTTATTAAAAAATAAGTCGAAGTTTTCATATCTTATTTATTCCATCACAAATGACTAAACTTTTCCAGTCATTAACACAGTCTGTTCTTCTTCACGTCCTTTTTTATTCTCTTTCCCAACACCCTCGTGATATACCACAGAAAACATGTATATGGGACATACATCTTCGTCCTACACCTTTAATAGTACGCCCGATAATTCAGGGAATTCACAGTTGCATCCAAATCTCCGAATGTCGGAGAAATTTCGTGCTTTTCTCCAAAGTCACGAAAATTCGTAGTCACTGGGAAAAAACCTCAAATCGGTGTTGCGCAGTTGTGTGAACAATGATCTATTACTAATGGTATTTCTTGAGCCTTTTAAATCTCAACTACTGTGAACAGTATTTTTACTATATGATATCCAATTTCATTACATATTCCAGAATCAGTCTTTTGGCTTTGTTTCAGTATGTTATATATGTACGAGACAATGAAAGGTTTGTTCCACGCCACTTTTTCAAAAACCTTACGCCATGTAGTTGAGTTTTTGTTACTGTGAAATATTCCCATTACTCCTCCCGTCCAGCCAGACTACAGTTAATTCTTTCTTTTAGACCAATAATATTGAAGGTAATGAAAGAAATGAGAGACAGGTAGCAGCTAAAAGAGTGCCAATTTTGATGAATTGCTGTCGGTCGACATTTTACGGAGAGTTGAAAATGTCAGAACATATGTTCGTGAAGAACTTCAACCTGGAGGTCTTTAAGAAACAATACCGTAGTATTGTACACATGAAAGATGTGGACGACGTTGCAGCTATGCAACTATGCTGAAATATTGGACCCAATCCTGAGACTGTCTCGTGTAGCTACAGTTATTGTGAACCTACTGCAGCGGCCGGTACTGCATCGTTTTTTTATAATAAATCATATTTAAAAAGTACGAATACAAAGATGTCGCCACCTATGCATCTGAAAGTCAAAAAAAGGCTAGGTAGAATTGTCATTGGTAAGATGAAAGGAGGTGATATCATCGTTTATAAGGTACATTAAATTCTTGGCTTTCTACGAACGGTTATTCCTCAACTCGCGGCTTCAGTTAGAGTAGCTGCAACAATGTAGAACCGAATTACTGGATACAGGAGAGTACTACCATATTGGACTGAAATCTGATCTTCTGGGGATTGTAGACAGTTGATTACGCAGGATCAACGTCAGCGAACTCGAATTACGACTCAACTAAGATGGCCTGTCGGTGTCTAAATCTTCCAAACAACAGTTTTGGTCTATCCGTGGTCATCCTGTATCTCCGTATCTCAGTGAGGTATTCTTGTTTTGTATCTATGGTGGTGAAATAAAACCATCTGGTTTGAACAAAATATCCTCTGATGTTGTGACTGAGTTGCAAGAATTTATGACAGTAAACCTTAATGTCATTAGGTGTCAAATGAATCTGAGAATAAAGTTAGTCTTATTAGTTGGACTCGTAAGTCGATCGAAGCCAGACCACCACTGAAAATCTAGAAGCACTGGGAAACCGTTTCGCCCCAGTCTGGAACTCCTCAGCACTGAGCATTCACGATCCCACACACAGGACTCGAATCCAAGACTTTCGGTCTCGTGCGCAAACCCATGGCTTATGGATCACTGGGCTGTCCAGTGTTCCCAGGTTCTCAACGGTGGTCTATCCTAGATGGACTCATTATTTTGGCCATTAAAATTACTACAATCTCCACAAATCCACGTTCCGATAACGAAGTTAGTCGTTGTTATTTGTGATACCCCTGTTTGTAGCATCATGTCATCGACCATAACGATGCAGCAGGTTGTGACAGATGTTTTGGGGACCCGCCTCAGTAAGCTTTTCGCATCGGCGAACACAACTTAAAAAGTGATGTCACATCCCTCAGCGAGTCCCAATTTATTCGTAATTGTGGCAGAAGTTCATGCAAAATCTGTCAATAGATACTTTGAAAGTGTTTCCATCTGAACCGATACACCGTACATACTTTGGGGTCACAGAAAACGTATTTATTTATGGAATGATGTAGCCAACATGTGACCAATGCGGATAGATCCATTCACTCTAGCACTATAAATGTAACCATAGAGTTTTGTAGACAACACACGACTTGCGACTTTCAAAGGATATGTCTCTCACTGCATGAAGTTTCTGTTCGGAAAGCAACTAAATGTAGCTTGTTTGTACGATACTCAGACCTTGTAGTTACCATTAGCACTCTATAGAAATTTTCTACGTCTTTCATTACCAATCTACTTATCGTCGCACCCGATGTTGCACACAGTGTCGCTCAACAGTGTGGACGGTAATCTGAATATTTTTTACTTGGATACGAAAGTTGTTATGGTAACGAAAATAGTCTACGATGTGTATAAATTTACTTAGTATTGTTTGTTTGTATCTTCTCATTGATGTTTTTAGGACTGCAACTGGTCAGTCCCTAATTGGCATATGTGCATACTGTGCGTATCGCCTCGATATAGCCTTAATTCACAAGCATATTGAACGCCTAACATATGATTCAGAGGGAAAAGCCAAAAATGATTTTAGACAACCATGTTGAATGACATCGTCAGCGATGCGTTTTAAACTATGCGCATTGTAAGCAAAGATGGATAGTGGCTAGTAGTGGAATCCAGTTTGACGCTCGTTTCGTGCTATTTGAGACTCGTCAGGTGGATTTGCCTGCATCTCAGAGTTGATGTTCACTGTGGGACTCCAACCCAGTACCTTTCGCTTCAAACGCCATCGCGTTATCTACTCGGCCACTGAGTCCTGATAGCCACTTGCTCGTGCAATGGGGTGAAGTTGAAATTTACTTAGTATTGTTTGTTTGGATCTTCCCATTGATGGTTTTTATCCATCTTTGCTTACCATGCTTGTGAATTTAGGCTATATTGAGGCAATACGCACAGTATGCACATATGCCAATTAGGGACTGACCAGTTGCAGTCCCAAAAACATCAATGAGAAGATACAAACAAATAATTCTAAATAAATTTCAACTTGACCCCATTGCACAGGCAAGTTGCTATCAGGACTCAGTGGCCGAGTGGATAACACGATGGCGTTTGACGCGAAAGGTACTGGGTTGGAGTCCCACAGTGAACATCAACTCTGAGATGCAGGCAAATCCACCTGACGAGTCTCAAATAGCACGAAACGAGCGTCAAACTGGATTCCACTACTAGCCACTATCCATCTTTGCTTACAATGCGCATAGTTTAAAACGCATCGCTGACGATGTCATTCAACATGGTTGTCTAAAATCATTTTTGGCTTTTCCCTCTGAATCATATGTTAGGCGTTCAATACACTGCTGATTCGTGGTAACTAAGAAAGCCACACGGAATATCATGTGATGTGACTGAGTCGGCGGTAATTTATAATTTCTCAAAAGAAACGACTACTTGAAGAGACTAGAAGTTTTCGGCTACTATGCCTAACAATATAGTTGTAACGAACGACAAGCCTGAGTTCATCTCGCAAATTGTCTTGAACGGAGGAATTAGGTTTCGGCCATATACAGTCTTCAGATCTTTTCACTGGCTTGTTTCCCTACAGTACTATGAGTATATTTGATTGCTCTGTTGTCAACCACGTGTGTACGTATATTACTTTGGGAGATATACTCTGCAAGTGCATCTCATTCCTAACACAATATTATGTATTTATTATACCCGTTTTACACATTTTCCTAGATAGCGTGATTTCATTTCTCATGGCCCGCCGCTTAAAAAATAGCTTATTGCAGTAGGTCTACACGTTAGTTAATGCTTTGACATAATTAATTGGAAAGTAATCAGGAATGTTACCGAGTTACTGCACGTGATAATTTAAAAATTCATAACATCCTGGGATTGATTTATGGCATCGATCAAAACAATACATCCTCGTCGACAATAAGGAACGGAAGCGAGTTTTATTCATCTCTAGTAACTGGCTATTGAACAGGCAACTACTTGTCTGCAGAGATTGTCTTAATCTGACGGATATTCTTAATCGTACAGACCCTGATTATCATTTTTTGTTGAGGCCATGTTTTTATAGCATCATTGTGGTAAGTTACCATTACCTAAAACTCATTGCTTTCAAGTGACTGATGTTTAGCTGAGGAACTGGAGGTATATTCGACGAAGTACTCGGTTACAGAAGAATTGATGCATACAACAATGACACGCAGCTCATCCAAAACAGTGATGTTTTCACTGCCTCGACTATTATCATTGAATACATTGCAATCACACCAAGTCCAATATCAATCGGTTGCACGCCGATGATAACAAAATATTAAAAACGATTCTGAAAGTGACCATTCATCTGTCTAGCAAGATCGACAAGTTTACTGCTTACATAAAAAGCTCATTCATCACTGTGAAGGACAAGTGTATCAGCAGCGTAGAGACGTTGATTTTCATATTCTCATCAAAAACACCTAAGGAAAAGGGTGCTGTCAAAGCACCGGAGGAACAAAATTTCTGTGAGCACTCAGCAAGTTGTGTCAGCTGTTTATAAAATTTCAGGGGTGACAAAAGTGTCGAAGATAGTTTGTGGTTTGTTTGTAGAGTTTTGTTTTCTGGGCTGGATGGTTTTATCATGAAGCTTGTTCTGATGGTGTTGTTCAGTAGGACAATGAAAGCTTCACGATCCAGAGTTCACAAAAACCTGTTTAGCTTACGTGTTCTATGTTCACGGTTCAAAAGTGCTATCTCTCTAGGAAATAAAATAGAACAAGCAATGGATATTGCGATCCAGACTCTCTTGCAAGACAAAAGAGATAA